AATTTACAACATGACAAATCGTTCAGCGTGCCGTGCAGTGTTGCTAATTTCTGGAAGACAGTTTGATGCTGTTTTCTTCGTTTTGAAGCTACTGCATGGATTCCAATGAGAAGAGATGGGCTTGATGCTTTTATATGTAACTTTTATACCTTATGATACATCCCATCAGTGCAGAGCGTATATTTCTCTAAGCAGGTGCTCCAATCGCCATTCCCAGGTTCCAACCAGTTGGAACACTTCACCTGGCCAAACAAACAGATGACAGTCCAAACAAAGTTTAGCAGACGGACAAATGGATAATCTCAACAAACTCAGAAACGAGGTTCACACTCCATATAGACTACCCTGGGAATCTTACTTCCGTTCTCCTGAGAGCTAGTGAGTAGTTCAGTCCTGGAAGAAACAGTGGGGGAAGCTGGACATCCCAGAAAATAGACATGCTAGATTACTGTTGTCTGTGACTACCTGTTTCTTGGTATTGATTGACATTCCCTCATTTCATCAAATGGCGCATGAATACCTACCCCTCCTACCCACATCCCTGCCCCAATCCCACTCCTTTCAGTCTCCCTCCCCCAGTCTTCCTTATACTCCATGAAACAACCCCTCCTCCTCCCCTCCGTACCCCCAATCTCGCTCCTCACCACCTCCCTGCCCCTGATCTTCCACAAGCGCCCATGCACTACCCCTCCCCCAACCCCTCCTACCCACATCCCTGACCCAGTCTCACTCCTCTGCGCCTCTCTCCACCCAGTCTTCCCAGCCTCCATGAAACGACCGTTCCTCCTCCCCTCCTTAACCCCAATCTTGCTCCTCACCACCTCCGTGACCCTGATCTTCCACAAGTGCCCATAAACAACAGCGCCCCCCCCCCCCCCTCCCCCTCTTCCTTTTCTGACCCCCAGTCACATACCTCCAGTACCTGATAACATTGATGATTCATATAGTTTCACACGTGGATAACAGAGCTAGCTAAGTCATGTGTGATTAAGCTAGTTCTGATTTCCATTTGTGTTTTGTTAAGCCTGCTAAATCACTCATGTACAGCAGAGCTGTCATACCTTATTGTACAGCTTTGCATACGTTTCCCATCTTTTCCTTTGGTTGCCTGACCGTCCAGCTGCAACTGCCTCCCTTGCCAGCAAAGCAAAGCTCACACCAACTATCAGTTCACGGCCACCATTTTCCACCCTGCAATACCATCAGATCATGTCAGCCATCATCAGCTGATGTCAACCTTCAGACAAGGTAGGCTATTTCTATCCGCTAAGACTGTTGTGTTCTAATCTTCACATGTGAGCCTGGACCCTGCAAGTGGAGAACATGGCTCCTCTATTTAGTTTTGCGGAACTCTTGCATCTGTGTCAACATGCACAATGGCGAAATGGCACTTGGAGTTTGACAACGACACGGCCTGTGAGGAGGGATAGACATGTTTCTGCTTCGGCACATCTGCCTAACGATTGATCCTCATTCCAATGGGTACTCAACCTAAACATGTCGTCTGTAGCACAATCGGTGAGAGATTGGCTGAGTTCCCATTTGTGAGGCGACAGGCACACATGCTGTACAAGATTACGTTGACATGCAACATTTTCTGCCTGCCACAGTGCAAGCCACTTTCACGCTTGCCTGCTGGAAGCTGAATGTCAGTACGAGTGCAACAATTTGCCGCCTCTAAATTTGTTGTAAGTACATTACAGGTTTACAGGTCATAACAATATTAGTTCAGACCCCTCACACACACACACACACACAC